GTGCGGGAAGGGAAGGGGCGGGAAGGGGCGGGAAGGGGCGGGAAGGGAAGGGAAGGGAAGGGAAGGGAAGGGAAGGGAAGGGAAGGGAAGGGAAGGGAACTTATCCCTTCCAGGGAAAGAACCAGGATAAATTTTGCCCAGTTATTGCTTCATTTTTTGAAAGTTCTTGTGTAGTATAACTACTTGTCTGCATGTTATAGAAAAGTTCCTTTAAACATCTTAAAAAACAGGTATCACAGTAGAAAGAAGATGATCAGTATTGCAAATGTCAGCCTAGGCTGATTTTATCAGAAATAGTGAGAACCATCCCTACACAACAATCTGCATTTTCTTCAACTTGTTAACAATGCACATTAAATGCAGAGACTAAAAAAAGGAACCAAAAGCAAAAAACCCCAACCCCAAACAAACAAACAAACAAAAACAAACAAACAAAATACCTGGTGAGCTCTTCTTTAATCTTCAAGGGTTCATGTGGGTAGAATTTCACTCTAAAGCACATGGTATATGGTGGATGAGCTGAAACATTATAAAGAAAAAGCATGAGAACAGGAGCAAACAAACATTCCTTAAGTCACTCTGCAGGAGTGACCTTAAAGATTCTTACTAATGGTTAGTATAGGCACAGATTCAAACAAGAGCATTATTACATACGCTTTATTTTGGGGTGGTCTTTTTTGGCAAATGATAAGCAGTAAGCAATAATACTACAAAATCGAAGAAACCATTTAGTTAATGAAACTAAAGACAGTTGAAATATTTCTGCTCCCAGTATTTAATAAGATTATAGTACCTAACTCTGAGCAATGGTATCAATACCAGGCCTGACCTACAATCTTGCCAATAGAAAAGAAAGAGGGGAAGAAGAGAGAGGAAAGGGGTAAAGGGAAAGGAGAAAGAGGAAAGAATCACAACAAGAAGAGATAATTCAGTTTTGCAATCAGTGCCTCTCAGGCACTTTGATTCAGAGCAATGTGCAGATCTATAATATTCTAGCTAGTTTTAAAATATTTTGTTCTTGGTATATTCTCAATGTATGTGGTCAATTTTAAATTTCCAAAACATTGAAGAGATGGTGCTTTTACAGCAGGAAAAGGGAAGGCAGAAGAAAAGAGCAAAAAAAATACAGAGGAAATAAAAGACACCACCAGGTGAAATCAATAATTACTTTTTTAAATTGTAAATTATAACAATAATTGGTAAGCTACCAGAACATTTTACTCGACCGTGTTATTATCTCTCTTTGTTCTGGTCATGGTGTTGTAGGTCTGGGTGTACTTTAGGGCAATCCTTTCTGTTTGATGTACACAGAATGCTGTATCTTACTTAAATGTAAGTGAAATAAACTTAAAAAACATACAACCAGTTTCCCAGAAAACTATGCTTTGTATGTAACTCCTTCATGAGTGTTTAGATCATGACTGGTTTCAGCATTCAGCATAACTTAAATTATTTTATTTGTACTTTTTCCTTCACCTCTTAAGTACTATTAGCATATAAACTGGCAAAATAATGGCTCTGTTTCAATGGAGTTTGCTGTCAATACTGTTCTCCACACTAAAGTCCTTTGAAATTATTGTAATTGTGAATGTTTTTTAGTGAGAAAGTGAACTCTAATGGTAGGAAATTGTGACAGAGCCTTGGGCATTTCACTATGCCAGCTGCTCCTTATCTGAGACATAAAGGACCTTCTGAAAGAAAAGGCTTTTAAGAAACAGCTATTAAAAAACTGATTATGTGCTTGCTAGTTTTGTGCTGATGAAATGTGCTTCTGAAAATTCTGCTCTGTTTTGGGAAGGTTTGTTGTTAAAGTTTCCACTTTAATATGTAAGTGGTCAAAAGCAATTTAACTTTCAAAGAATTGAGAAATTATCTGGCTTGACAATCATGTTTCTTGAGCTGATAAAATTCAATGACTATCTTGATTTCTGCTATGAGAAACCAAAGACAGAACATGAAGTTGTCACGTGCATTTCTCCAGTGCAGTAAAATCTGTAAGACAAAGGCTTTGCTTAATGTTTACATATCATCAAGTGTCCCTTTGGAAGAACATTATCTTTAAAATTAAGATGGAGAGTAAACTGGATGGCTTTTGGGATTTCCCTCCTTACCCATTCAAATGTTCATTGTGGCTGGTTTTCCAATTGAGAATAAGAAACAGAAGAAGAGGATCTCCTGTAATTGCAGGGAACCTTCTTATCTCTAGAGATTAATTAGATGGATAGGTTCATATTATTTTTACCATTTCAAATTTCAAGTTGTTTTTTTTTCCATTCCTGCACAGCGATACAGAAAGGATCTTGGCTTAGAAGGCTGCAGCAGACTTGTATATTATTGCTGCACTGCTGAGGAAGAATATTGTTACAGGAGCTTGAGTTTAGGAAAAGATTTGCAAAACAAGCTTTAAGCTTCCTTGACAAATCTCCTGCATGTCCTCTGCATTGGTGTGCCCTTCTGTCACATACTGTTCTTCTGCTACAAGTAAAACATTTCCTACTTTAACCTTTCATATGAATGTGGGCTATTTTTATAGTGCTGTGTGTGCCTTCATTTCCTCACTGTGATACTCTTTGCATACAGGTGAGATGATACTTTTATGTGGTTACCACATACTGCCAGAATGGGATCTTCCACTATAACTTTTTTTTTTCTTAATTTTTACCACAGAAGAATTAATTTATTTTTTTTTTATTGACACCTGGAAAATTGGGTAAAATTCAGTATCTTTTTGTGGTCTTGCAGTAGGCTTGTATTTGCTAGGGCCCTGAAGACACATGTATTAGCTATTTTTATATCTTCATCGCTATTTCCAAACAACTTCTAAATCTGCCAAAACATTTAAAAGTCTTTAAAAACGCAGGTTTTCCTCCATTGCTTGGTTTTTACATGGCTATTTAGGAGTGACAGAACCATTTAAGATGACTTTAGCTCTGCTTTGTCCAGGCAACACGAGTCCTTAGTGAGTTTCTGCATGGCTGCTTTCCTTTCTGGGACAGTGAATTCACTTTACCTTCTACTTTGCTGTTACAGGGCAGGGAAGACATAACAAAGTCTTCTGCTTTGCAGACTGTTTCCAGTCACTGTAAGACAATGCTGCAGTCACATCTAAGACAGCAAAAACCACAGAAAACAGACTGTTTTCTAGCCTTCAGAAGGCTACTCCAGATTTGAAAAGTGTGAAAGGTCAAACCATCTCTGGAGAAAAATTAAAGCTTTTTTTTTCTTAATTTCCTCTTAATTTCTATTTTTTATATGGGAGATGCCTCCCTTGGTACAGACATCAGTAAGTAAGGGACTGAGTCTCACATGAACTATTTTTAAGCAGTTTACAAAAATTTCCACACATTTTTATTACCATTTTCTCCACAGACAAAGAATCTGAAAAAAAGAGGAAAACATTTATATGTGCTAGTTTTGGCTGGGGTAGAGTTAATTTTCTTTGCAGTGGCTGGTATGGGGCTGTGTTTTGGATTTGTGCTGAACACAGGGTTATATAATACAGAGATGTTTTTCATACTGACACCCTAGTTAGGAGACTGTGAGTGCATGGAAAGTTGGGAGGAGACACAGACAGGACAGGTGACTCCAACTGATCAAAGGATACCATATCAAATTCCAGATGACATGTCATCATATTCAGAATATAAAGTAGGAGGAAGAAAGAGCAAGGGGAGACTTTTGGAGTAAATGTTTTCCCAAGTCACTGTTATATGTGGTGGGGCCCTGCTGTCCTGGAGATGGCTGAACACCTGCCTGCCCGTAGGAAGGACTGAATTAATCCCTTGTTTTGCTTTGCTTGTGTGTGCTTTTCCTTTCCCTATCAAATTGTCTTTGTCTTAAACCAAGAGTTTTCCAACTTTTACCCTTCTCTCCCTGATCCTGATGGCGGGGGACTGAGCAAGCGGCTGCATGGGGCTGGGTTGCTGGTTGGGGTTAAACCACAACACGACAAAAGATGAAAATAGGTTTTAAAAGCTGTTGAAAAACTTGATTGAAACGATTTACATGTGCCAACTAAATAGAGAAAGATGGGAGATTCTCAGCTGAGACTTTCCAAAAGGTTTGTTTTCCACAATCTCCTTTTCACAAAGCACAAATGCTACCTTCTCTAATGCACTGTGCTGGCAGTGTTGGGTTTTTTTATATTAAACATGAAGTACAGCTGGATACTGAAAGCCAAAAGAAGATGTAAAAATTATCTTCGTAGTCCTGAGAATGCAACAATGCAGAAAACTTTCTGCATTTCTCCTTGACGTTACATGTTCTCTGAACTACACTACCCTACAAAAAGTTATTGAAATTTAAGAAACAAACAATCAAGAAAAAATATTATACTCAAATAGTCTTCATGTTCACTAGTTCTGCAGAAGCATCTCTGGGGCACTGTTAAGACATACACAGTTGTTGCCATATACCTGTTCCCTTTCCAGACGAATCAGCTGTTTATCCATATTCCTTGCTGAGCATTTTTAAGACAGGCAGAACATTACTTAGTGTTTCTATGCATAAGGGCTACCTGATTTATCATAAATCTCAAATTAGGGGTCTCCCACATTGCACTCTATTTACAGAACAACACAGGGCAAGGCGGACTTTTATCAAGCTTAAAATAATGAATAATAAATCTTAAAATGCTGTTATTAAATCTTTGTGAGGATCATAGAATACACAGCATTCAGATTAGTGCCTGAAGGACCACACAAAACTCCCGTTCTCATTGTACATGTATTTATGAATCTCATATTTGATTAAATTTTTCTTTACATTTCTACTGCAACTCCCTGGTTCATTCCACCTCCTTTCAAGTTTTAGGACAGCATCCTAGAGATCACAGAAAGTAATTGAAAAATTCCTATGACCTGACACAGGAGAACATCCTTTTAGCATTATTCTTTTAGATCAAAGAATCATAGAGTGGTTTGGGTTTGAAGGGACCTTAAAGATCATCTAGTTCCAGCACTTCTGCCATGGGCAGGAACAGCTTGCACTAGACAAGGTTCCAACCTGCCCTGGAACACCTCCAGTGACAGGATACCTACTACCTTTCTGAGCAACATGTTCCAGTGCCTCACCACCCCCACAGTAAAGAATTTTTCCCTAATATGTAATCTGAACCTATGCTCTTTCACTTATGCAAGTCAGCAGGAAAAACATGGAAATTTAGAACTCCTGCACATCAGAGCAACAGAAATGATTCTGTTCCACTGTCATCAAGAACAAAATCCATATATTTGGATATTTCCCATCAAGCAGGTTTTAGGAGAGCTGCATATTACTATGCAGAATAATCTTTGAAATTAATCAAAAATCAGCAAGAGAAAAGTGCATGGGGAAAATCTTTATTTAAACATTAGTGCTGATGTGACTCAGGATTTATACCATAGTATTCCTAGACAGAAAATAAACAACAAAAAATGTAAGACTGCCAAACAGAGAAATTTACTGCCAGTATTTGTACCACTATACACAAAAACATGCAAAAGAACAGAAAAATTTCTTTTAGAATTTCTGTATCCTGAGCCACAAAGATACAGCTTCCTTAAGAAACCTTCCAGAGAGGTTTCCATCACACCCTTGGAAACACTCTGCTGGCAGCTGCTGATCATGGGTCACCAACTGGCTTCAATCTGTACAAACAAGACTGGCAGTGGTTCAGGACATTTCTCAGAAACTAAGTTTTTCCCTCTCAGGCAAAATTAATGATAAAAATGGCTGAGGACCTAGACTTTACACATCACGTTAAAACACAAACATTACAATGATAATGGAAAACTCAAAGATAGATGGTGAGACAAAACAGATACCACACCTTCATTCTTTTTGTGTGGCACCAGAACACATTTAAATATAGTTTCATATGTAATAAGATAAAATAGAAAATGTTTTAGAAGATTCTTCCTGTTGTATTCAATGTTGCTAAGTATGAACTTAAAGTAATTTTTTTTCCAAAGCCAAAGAAATTAAAATTGTAATTGTAAATTGTAAAATAGGATCACATAAGATCCTATGGATACTTCAGACCTTCAAAGACACAATGTTCTATTCCACAGACAGAAATGTATTGTTGCCAGATTGTGAGTTCTGTACAACCTGACTATATAGAGGGATTATGCCTGAATGATTCATGTACTACTGAGGCCTATGAAAAGTAGTACCTACTAAAATGTATACTAGAATACTTCTACTAGACAAACTTTTTCTGCTTCAAATATTTGCCAGTATTGAGCTGCATTAATAAACAGACTGAAAAACTTGCTGCTGTGCTGGAGGATAAGGAAAGCTCCCCACAAATGGTAGCTGAGCTCAAGAACATAGCATTTTTTAATTTTTTCTGCACTTACGCAAGTGCTTCACAATTCTACGTAAATCTAAGCATTCAACTGATTTTAGAACTTTTTGAGTCATTAGTATTATCAGAGAAAATTATTCATTTTTTCCTGAATTCCTTAATTCAAAGAAAGAAAAGGAAACATCCATCTAGTACAGTCACTGTGAATAGCTTTCTGCCATCATTTCTCCCAGAAGTCATGTTTACATAACACTTGGGCTATTAAACAGTCACTTCATTGCTTCAGTTTTTAGCCTTTCCACCTTCTACTAATTTCAGTTCTCACTTGTGCCACCTCTGACTGCGATGTTTTGCAAATGAGTATCAATAATTTCTTCTTCTGAGTCTAAACCTTTTTATAGTAAACTAAGTATTTTTAGATCAAATATGAGTTAACCTTGCTTCTTTAGAAATTGTTTGATTTTATACATTAATATAGCCTATTTTTAGAAAAATAAATCAAAAGGTTCTTGATACCAAATTCATACAAAAATGTCCTTGAAACCTCTGGGACCATAATCTTCATGGTTTCTACACATGTACAAAATATATATACATAGTTTTATTTTTTTCCTTAAAGGGTTACTGTAGGAACTAAAGTCCTTCTTTTGTGATATAACAGAAAGTTCATTTACACTAGTATTTTTGAACATAAGTTGCCAACAATATAGTTAATTCAACTTCTGTGTCCTAAATCTAAGGCTGGTTACAAAAATCCTTTGTTAGCATCTCATCCTCTTTGGCTCTAAAGACCATTTCACCATGATAAACAATCTCATGCTAGTTGCAGTTTATTTTGCTTTTTTGGTATGTATTCGTTTATTTTTTAGAGTTTTGATTAGGATTCTATCACAAAAACCAGAGAAATCCTCTGATGAGGCCATGAAATCACTAAATCTACAGAATTCATGGACTACCATCTATCACATCTAGGCACTATCTATATGCAGGAAAGGTTGTTTTGAATAAGTCAAAACATTCTCAGCACATCTGTTGGCAGAGCCCCTGCATGTGTTGCTATACAAAGTGCACAAGAGGAATGAGCCCGTATGCTTTTTTGGGTAAAAGCAGTGAAACAAATGCAAGCCAGAAGATACATTCAGGAAACTGTTCTACTTTTCATAACACATTGGAAGGAAGCAAGAGATTAAGAAAATTTACAATTTTTACAATTTCTCTGTTCTTCCTTCTTCCTTTAGTAGCATTGCTGAGGAGCACAACTTAGTTCTAATCTGATATTTTTGAACTTAATTATATTACTGGATATTATTTCAGCCAGATAAACACTACATATAGGAGTTCACACTGAATATGCCAGATACATGTGTGTTTGCATACATACACATGTATGCATATATTTCAGTATGGCTGCATTAATGGAAGAATTCCTTGAAGTATTCCAGATATTGCAGTTAACATCCAGTATTAACTGGTTTTGCACATTAGACAATCTCTTAAGCCTCACAACATTTTCAAGCAAATACATGCTTGAAATACAAATACATGCTCCCACACAAAAAAGTTCCTTGTACTTATGCTTAAAACTGAAAACTGTATACAGCTGTATGCAACCAATATGAGGATAAAATTCTCCTTTATTTCCTGAGGTAGGTAGGTAGGTAGGTGGGTGGGTGTGTAGCTAGCTAGCTAGCAAGATAGAGAGATAATGGCCAAGACACAACTTGCACCATGCCAGATAAACTGTCTTCTGCTGCTGGATATAAGATCCTGAGTACCATAGCAGTTCTGTTTCCCAAAGAAGTCTTCAGAGTTGGACTATTTAATGGAAACCATAGGTCCGACAGTAACATTTCAAACAGATAATTAAAATTCTACATTCCTGTTTTAAAGACACTTTTAAAAATACTGATCTTATGTTCATTCCTCCGTTACCCTTCACCTGTGGCAGAAAGCTCACCACTTAGCCCAGAGTGCTTGAGTTTGCTGGACAGTAACAATGATCTCAAGCCAATGCTTTGCATTTTCAGAAGGCAAGTGGCAGCAGAAAGAAGGAAAACCAGAAAAGACCCAGAAGCAATTGCCACGCTCCATTTTCATTGCCATTTCTCAGTGGCTGATTTTATCTGTCTGAAAATGAGAGCTGGAACATCCTGGTTCATACATCTTCCAGCCAGATCTGTCACCCCATTTTGGCTGGCCTCTGGCTGTAGCCATGAGCAGTAAGGGAAACCTTTTGATGTACAGAAGAGAGATGGTAAGATCAGGTAGCATGGAGTGTTTAGGATTCCTTCATGTGCTAACATGAAGGACCTCTTTTCACTGAGAAACAAATGAAACTTATTCTAAATTACTGCATGGAAGCACAAGAAAACCTTCAGTTATTTAAAAATTAGTTTAAAAACATAAGCTTTCAAGACTTACATTTCATTTGCTTGAAGATGGACTTGTTGGGCTCAAGCCAGTGCTGGAAAGACAAAGCAGAGAGCAGAGGTTAATATGGATCAAAGTAGACAAAAATAGCCTTGTAAATGTATAAGGTACCAAAAATGAGAAGTAGGAATTTTGTTTCACTGAGAAAACATAAATGAGAAAAGCACCTCCATACTGGAATTATACTGCATAAACATTCTTGATATCACCAATGTCTATAAAACAGATGTAGTTGAGACATAAATAAGACAGATATTTCAAAGACACATTTAAAGTGGACAGGTTTTAGTCCTCAGCTAGCAGTAGACATTTTAGTCTCATACTTGCAGCCATTTTTTTCCCAGAAGAATGGTCATATCAGACAGTAGGACAGATTATTCAGAAATTTTAACACTGTCTCCTCATTAGTGTTGTCTTCTACATTTCTTAAAACTGAAGAATGTTTAAGTACTATATCCTCAGTCAAAACAAACAGGACACAAGTTATTGCTCTCTTCTGGCAATAACTAAAAATTTAAAGGGAAAAAGACTGCACTTTTCCAGGAAATGTCCACAATACAGAGAGCTAATATAAAGCAGAGAGGTACAGATGCTTATCAGTAGGTGCATGACTTCACCGGAAAAGACACTTTGGCAGGAAAAGTTTCATATTTTTTAAATTCTCTTAGAAAAAATACTCAGGTGCTTCTGTAACCAAAAGTTAGGCTCACATTTTAGTTAAGAGCCTTAGCACATCCCCTGCTAGCACTAGCTGACCTGCCCAGGAGGATATTTTGTCAGACAAAAGAACATGCTGATATTCAAGTGCCACTTCTGACCATAGCCAGCACCTTTTGTATTAGTATTTTTCATATAAGCAAAAATCTCCACAGTAAAATGATATTTGTGCTGTGGAAGCAGCTGGTCAAAAAGCACAGCATTCAGTTTTAATAAGCATACTCAACACTGGAAGGCCTTGCACTAAGGGGTTTCATTTTTAACCCTTTCATTCTAGCTCTAAACCCCTTTGGTCAACTGCAAAAAGAATACCTAGCATTTATTAAACCATACATAATACATAAAATATCCTACATGAGCTACAATTTATCCACATAACCATTAGTAATTCTACTGCAGAGAAAGGCCAGGTGTAGATATTTTGTAATTGTTAATAACTGACAGAACATTATTACTTTAAAAATTCTGACATCTCAATTCAGATGAAGTCAGGATAACCCTAAATTAGTTTCCTGAAAGAGAACTTTTGATAAAACAAATACTTTGGAAAGAACATTTTCAAATATCTGTGTTTTATGTTCTTTCTATGGTTGCTCAGAAACTTACACACATATAGTTTACAGTAGTATTGGAGATAAGCTTTGCAACAAATTTATATTTGAAGTTCACTTATCACTGAGAGACAATGGAGCCCTGCTACAAACAAAACAAAAACCCGACACCTTCAAACTTCAAACAACAGCCACAGCAAAACAGCAACCCTCCAACATCTCTTTACCTCTTTACCTATTCCATTTTCCCAGTGTCTCTTTTTTTTAGGGGAAAAGATGAAAGAAACATAAGTGAATCAGCAATGACGGTTTCACTGACTTACCAGAAATATCTAGCTCATTTCATTCTTTTTTTAGATCATACATATAAATTATTTATATGTTTCACTCTGAATAATGGGGGCTGAGAGTTGCTCATAAAAAGGTAATGACAATCTGATTTAAGAAATCTTATACAGTCTGCAGTGGTTTATAGATACATAATCCAGCATGAATTCATGGATAGGAAACCAGTCAAGACACACATAGATATACAAGTGCACTTTCCTTATCCTCTTCACAGACCCACCCCATATCTACCAGGATCAGGCCAGTCCTAGATAAAGATTCAGACAGCAAAGGGGGACTTGGACAGTCCCCATGCTGCACTGCTCCCAGGAAACTGAAAGTATTCACTATTCTCGTCTACCAGAAACACAACACAATTTTCTTAGTATTCCTTTTTAAAATACCAGGCTAGAATATCAGCACAGACCAGATCAGCATTTAGAACTGTTTGAAAAAGTTAATTAACCTATTATAACAGAACAGTCAGAGTTAAAAAAAGACAACTGGCAAATATGAAACCCTCATACCAACCATGTGAATAATGAAAGGGGGGAGACATGGATGAAATTCCTCAAACCCCCAGGAATGAAGATTTACCTAACACATCCAAAATCAAATATGTTTCACTAAGACCTGACCTTCATGGGTTAAAAACAGATTGAAAAGACACCAAGCAATTAAGCAATCTAGGCTTTCCCATGGAGGTCATGGAACTGGCAGGCAGTTTCTACAAGCTCAGATTTCTATTGTGACCTTCTGTTGGTGGAAGATTGCAAATGTGTACACAATTCAGCTGAATCTTCCAGAAAACTGAGGAGTTACTTTATAATTTGTGGAGACTTTCAAAGACACAGCAATTAGGTGCTTAATACTCTTTGACTGTCAGGGGAAGATAAACACCTAGTCATTGCTAATACTTCTGGAAATAGCCACCCCTACATTTGTTTGCATATTTCAATTTGAGTTTTAGGAAAGATTTTCCCTTGAGTACTTATCTTTCAGGCTTACAGCATTGACTATTAATAATTAATACCTGTGCCTCATCTCTGCTATACAGTATCCAAGCTATATTTATTCCAAGATTAATTAGCTGTTATAGTTAGGAGGAGATTAAGGTTCCTGTAAATTAATCAAACTGTTTCTGCAGAAACTTTAAATTGAAAAGAATTTGGTTTTCCAAAATGCTTTTTTCATGTAGCGATATTTTTTAAACAATTTTCCTGAAAAAAAAAATAGGTGAAAGGAAAATTAACATTTTTAGTTAGCCTGTCAAGATAAATTTTAGAAATATTTTAAATGTTCAGCTGCAAAAGAATGTCATTAATATGTAGGCAACACTGCCTTGCAAGAACAGTTCACAGATGTTGTCAACTCTTCATTGTAAGGAGTTATTGTACTTGATAAGACTAATAAAAAAAACCCAAACAAAACTATTCAGATATAAAACTTTAACTAGAGACAAGAATCTTTTATTTCTTTCCCAGTGTGCAAATCAGGGAGAGAAAAAAATTCCAGCAATTTTAAGCAGTTTCATTTCTGTCTCATGCATTTGACACTGTAGTCCACAAAGGCTTCTTTAATTGAAGGATGGCCTACACCCTCAAACCAGCTTGGCTTCATGTGTGATAGTACTTAACAATCACCAGAAATCATTCCTTTCAGGGGCTAAACCTCTTGTTTCATTGAAAGCATGTTAGCAAGATGGTTGCTGCCCAATGGGGAACAAAAGCTTTTGATCCTAATCCTGCTAACACATTGCCAAGCATCCTAAGAGATTCATGTTCAGCACGACTAATTTCTAATCTCTTTGCTAAAAGAGGTTTCAGTAACTGCTGGGTATCTCAGTGATCATACAGATGCCTTCACAGAAAACAAAAGGGAGAGAAAAAGATACACAGAAATCTTGAAGGTCAGTCATGGGAGAGCTAACAAGTCTTGGTACTTCGAGTGCCAGAGGTGCATAAGCAAACTGTCATGGATATCACTTTTGGTGCTGGGATCCTAAAATATGCTGAGCCTTCTGACTAATATTTCATTGCAATCGCATGCTGTGTTTCAGACTAGTGCAATTTTTACTTTGTAAATAGAGCCTTCACCTCTGATCAGCCCTTAAATGGTGCTGAGTAGTCATTAGAGAGGCCAGGTGTGTTCTTGCTTACCCACAAATACTGAGCAGCTGATGTGCTATCAGCTTTCACAGCAAAAGATCAGGACGAACAGGGACACCCTGCAAGGACAAAAGCACCATTCTAGAAAGCCAACACCACAAGCACTCATACGCTTCTTGTAAAAACACTTTAGTCTGTTTCAAACAAAGCCAATCACTGAGAAGGTCTGAGAAGACTGAGCTTGGTCTTGATTCAACACAGGGTTAAGAGTTTTAGAATAAGAAGCTGTGAGGAAAAAGGAAAGAGTGATAGAATTATGGAATGGCCTGGGTTGAAAGGGACTTTAAAGACTATTTTGTTCCACCTCCCACGCCATTGACAGAGATACCTGTCACAAGACCAGGTTGCTCAGAGTTCCATCTACGCTGGCATTGAACAGTCCCAGGGATGGGCCATCCACAGATTCTCTGGGCAACCCGTTCCAGTGCCCCACCACCCTCCAAGCCAAGAGGCTTTTGATTAAGTCCCTCTGTTTGCAAGAGGAGCAGTTAATAAGGGGCAACTGGAAGTGGCCAAATACCATGAATACTTAAATTTTGCTCAGCAAGCAATACTTAGCCAAGTGCTTGGGTATGCATACAGTAAAACAGAATAAGAAGAACCTGCAGGTTTTACAAAAATGTTTCAGGCGAGGGCTGGATTGGAAAACTTTGTTTAATTGACAGGAAAGGGCAGAAGAATGGGTATATGGAACACTGCTAGAAAAGTAAAAAAAATAATTAATTTTATTTAAAACTCCACCCTACATTAATCTTGAAAATGTGTATCTAATCTTTCTCTTGAATGAAGAGCAAAATCAAGGTAAATTTGCTTTAACTTCAAAGAAGTGACTTGCATGGGGTTATCACCCACCAAAAAAAATAAAATAAAAAAAAAATTCCAAAGCTCATGGAAGCTCAGACAGGAGAATTAACTAGGTGTCCACTCCACAGAGATATAAGAGATGCCAAAGGGCCCAGGGCTTTATGTGTGTCTCCTTCATGCCCTAAGGCAAATAACATTTTTTCATGGTTTCAAGAACTTTTATATCAAGAATATTGATGTTGTTCTGTTGTAGCAAAAGAGCTGCCCCTCTGGGTTTTTTTCCAAAATCAGGGCACCGATGCTATTTAGCGGCATGCTAATGAGGAAGAAACAAGGTACCATTGCTACCACAAGCCTTTATCTGGTCCCAAAAAAGTAGTCACATACACTGGAACAGAATCACCATTTGTATGATTCTGAACTGGAGTTTATTAAATAAATTTGCTAATTATCACTGCTGTTTGTTG